TCGCGCGCCCCGGGCTCCAGGAGAATGGTTCCCACCCCCCAGCCAGTTCCGCAGACCGAGAAAGGCACCTCTCCCCTTAATTAACATTGAATAATTAACGGGGGAGGTCAAACCATCCCCTTCAGGATGGCGGCACAGTGGGCATGGGTTACACGCGCTGAGCCCGAGGGCTGATTTTTGAGAGATTTAACCATTTTACAGGGTTGGGTTTGTTGTTTTTTGGGTTTTTTTTTGATATTTATGAAGGTAGAGTTCATTGCGATGCCGGAACTAGAGAGCAGCCCCGCCAAACCGTACAGCATTCTTGCACCGGATCGTTTCGAGAGAGCATTGCCACCACACGACTAGAGGACATCTCGCACTCAGAGATGTCCGGACCCCCGCTCGGGCAGCAGCCGTCGCCCGGGCAGCGGCAGCGGGGAAGGCTGCCGTCGCACCAGTCCCTCCGTGGCGAGACCGGGCCGCCTACTCCAGAACCACAGTCCCTCCTGCTGCCTCCAGCGCCGCTTTGATCTTCTCTGCTTCCTCCTTGGAGGCGTTAGCCTTGATCTCCTGCGGAAGGGACTCCACCAGCTTCTTTGCCTGCGGGAGGGACAAAGTACGAGACTCATAAACTGGCTTTCACTAACCTGATTAACAGATTTCAAGCCATGAGCCTGACCTCTGCCTAAGGAGACCAGGGAAACTCACCCACTGGTCTAAAACCCAAGACTTTTACTCGAACTACAGCACATTCTGACGGAATACAGATAAACCTGACTGCAAGTGATGGCACATCCACTACAGCCCTGGAAGACCTTTTTTTCGGGAAGTAATTGCCCACAAATTCCTCCCACCCACGTGCACGGTGCTCCCAGACGCGCAGCCGTGGCCTGAGAACGTGCCTGGGACGCACGCAGAGCCACCACGCAGTAACCCGCCAAGGCAGCTACCGGCCTGCGTTAGGTCGAGCTTTTTCAGTGTGAATGTTTTGGTTCACATATTTCTGCCAGCGGGGAGGAGAGGCCGTCAGGGTTTGTACACAGCTGTGCAGGAATCCACTGTATCGGGTAAAAAAAGAGTTCCAGTACAGACTATGCTTGACAACACGATCTTGGTATTTTCAAGACTTTTTACACAAAACTATTGGTACAATGCAGTACCACAATATTTAAGGCAAGCTGAAAAGCTGTTTTTTAAACTGATTTAAAGGGACTATCTGCAGTGCTGCTGTGCAGAAAGGGAAGGGAGCATGGGAGGATAAGCCCCTGCTGCAGTCAGATGCTCTTACACAAAGGAGCAGCAACAAAACTATTCAGCTCCTTAAAAACAAACCCCAGGGAGGTTCCTACAGCGAAGAGCCGCTGCCAGCGCTCTGCCGTGTGGTGCTGCAGGTATTTAGCACCCAACAGATCGACCATTGCTGACAGAAAGAAGGTTGTGTTGTTTTATTTCCCATTGGGCGCAGTGATGATGTATCCACAGTGGCAGAAAACGCTTTTTTCACTGGGATGAGATGGTGCAGCTGTGCAGGCAAAGCTCGGCAGGGCAGGCATGCCTCCACTCACCAGAGCCCAGGACAGTATCCAGAAAGGAGCCTGTTCTGGCTTGCTGCGATGAGGACAGGCAACACAATCAAGGTTATTCATTTAAGATCCTTGCTCACTAATGCCTAACTTCTGTTCCAAAGCAGCCTCAGTCAAAGGAAGCGGCTGTTCAGAGCTCCCAGCAGGAGGAAGAGCAGGGCCCGAGCCAAGCTGGACCTGCACAGTAACAGCCACGGGGCAGAAAGGAAACGCGTTTCCAATCCTAGCCGGAGCCCACGGGAACGCCAGCCCAGGGCTGGTGACGTGTGTGTCGGGAGGGCCCTGAACACACTTTCAGAGGTGCAAATGGACTCAAGCCTGGCTTGCGCTGACGACGCGCCTGTCTCATCAAGCAGTCATTGCTGCAGGGCTGACCTGTTCGAGCCACATCAGCACCCAACGTCCAAAGATTTCACTAATAATGCTTTCATTCAAATCACTAACAGCCCTACAGGCTATAAATAGATTCCCTGCGTATCTCATTAAAAACACCTCCACTGGATGGCAATAAAATTGACAATAAAAATGTATCACTACACTTTGAATACAACATCTGTAGACAGAGACAACCATCAGCAGCAGTTTGTTTTGTGTGTGTTTTAACCAAAATACGTTGGGTAAGTCACAGTTCACAAAGTTTACCCGCAATAACCTGCATCTACCAACCTTGTACCTGCATCGGAACTGCAACCAGCTCGTTTGACAGGTTCCACATGCTGAGCCAAGTTGATTTAGCACTAGTTCTCCAGGCAGCTTTCAACTATCCGCTGATCGTGTCCGTTACAGGGTTTTCATATTTTAATGCTTGCTTGGGACTGATAATGGATAAACAACTGCCAGGCTAACTGAGCTGATAATCAGTTAATTATCCCAGTGGGCCAATGAAACTCACGTCTCGGCCACCAGAGTTTCTCTGTTACCAAATTGTTTGCTTTGCAATACAGTAATACGAATGGGTCAGATTTTCTGCAAATCCTTCTGCTATCCCAGACTACAAATAAAAGCAGATTTTACAATGCTCAACATTTTTTCCTTGCAACTGCATAAACAGGAAGTGCTACTATTATCCCCAAGATATGAAAGCATCATCCAGTGGAAAACTGAAGCACATTAAATGCTTCCACAGTAGCAGCTGCATGGCGCGTTCTTTGTTCTGAGCCTACATCATGGCTCAAGGGCATGAGCCTAGACGCTGCACAGAACTGTGAAAGGCCTGTCTCCCCTGAGGGAAAAGGAGGAGGCATCACCTACAAAAAGAAGAGCTCTGAAAAGCACTGGAAGCATAGATTGAAAGACACGTGAATTAGAGAAACTTGTCTAAATTCAGAAATATATTGACCTTGAAAAACCAAAAGAAACTTTAGGGGAAGGCAAGCCAATCCAGCTGTAACGAAGAATCCTGGCTGCTCCCAAGTTCTGCAGGAAAGCCCAGAGGAGCTCTTAGATTTGGAGAAGGTGAGGCTGGCACGGAGGACTTTGAGGTCTTTACTCTGAGCCTCCCCTTTCACCTCACCACTTCTGCTAGGCGCTCACTTGCTCGCCACACAGCAGAGCTGGGAGGGAACGGCCTTCTCTAAAAACGGCCAGACAAACAGACGCAACTAAGTCCTGCTCTACACCTCATCCACATCTTTGCACTGAGGCATGCACACAGGCAGAGCATTCTCCTAAACATGGAAATCCAGGCTCCCTTTTGAAGAGAGAACTGAGACCGAAGCTTGCAATGTGCTTCAGAACCCACCCGGGCTCAGGGGTGATGCGGCGCAGAGCATCAGGCAGCCCCTTCCTCACCTGCACCAGGTTCACTCCCGGCACGAAGTTCTTCACCTCCTTGATCAGCTTCACCTTGTCAGCGGGTTTCAGCTCTGTCAGCCGGACGGTGAAATGTGTTTTCTCTTTCTTGAGTGGGACCACCTCCTCCTCCTCCTGGAAGCAGACAGAGCTCGCTGAAGACACCCGGCCAGGCCCCAGGGCCCTCCTCCCCGCCGCCCCACGCGTGGGGGCCCGCGAGGCCGACACTGAGCCCCCG